CCCCCCCCCTCCCTCCACCGCGCCGCTATTTCCAGGAATTCGTTCGGGCCGTCGTACCTGTTCGCCAACGTCCGAACGCCACTCGGGAAGGCCGTGTCGGCGTTTGTGAAGGAGGGTGCTGGGGGGACGGCAGGCGGCGTGGAGGTCAAGGGGCTGGACTCGAAGGCGGAAGGGCTGGAAGCCGGGGAGGCCCGACTCTGTACGGAGGTGCAAGAAGATGGATCTACCGTGAGATGTTGTTTTGCATAAAACGTGGATACTTCGATAATGACATCATGACTTGTCGGGTAGACGTGGGTACTTCGATAGTGACGTCATAACTTGACAGGTAAATGTTGGTACTTTGATGGTGACGTCATGACCTGTTTTGATTTCGTGGGTGTGGGTGGTGCCAGAGTAGGTGGGAGAAACACGAGCATACAACGGCATGGATGTGGTTAGCGTCTTAGATTCGTTATTATTATGGTTTCCTTTCGGAGTTGTTACGTATCTGTGGTGATCTATTTTTTTTATATTGTTCGTACGTTCTTGTCTTGCTTGTTTGAAGTCGTTTCTTGGAATCGTTTCATGCCATTCTTCCCCATGTGCATGGCTTGCGTGGAAGCGATGGATTCAAAGGACGCCTCGCTCGCTGCGTGGCAGTGGCAGTGGCTTGATGAACTTCCCCCCCCCCCCTCGCCGACGATCCTGGGTGTCCAATCTCAAAATAAGCAGCACTGTGGTGTTATCTCTAACGGGTAGATACTCATTCTTATCCACTAATTTCACTTATGCATGTTTTCTAAATGTAACGGGAACGAATACCCCCCGCCCCAATTCTTCCCATCCTCATCCCACCCCCCCGTCGGCTACCGAACATATCGAATGCGGCTTTTCTTTCCACAGGAATGGGGAGGTTTCGGCGGAAAGTTGGCAATACCAAACCCAGAGATCAGCACCGCCGTGGGGGACACGCTGCAGGCGCCAGAAAAGCCGAGAGGGGTGAGTGTTGGCACGAATAGCTTCGAGCGAGGAAATCACCTGGGTTGCGAGGGTCAGGGATATTTCTTACCTGGAAGGGGGTATGTTGTTGTTGTTGTTGTTGTTGTTGTTGTTGTCGTCTTCACATTAAGAACCGTTCCTACTTCTCTACCCAATACCTTAACGTCTCCGCACCAGTCTTCACACTTTACGCGGCCGATTCCCGTGGGCACGAGCGAACTTTCCCGGACAAAGGTAGAGTGAAAAATAAAATGGACCCGAAAGGCCCGCAAGTCAATAGTAATCAAGGCCAGATAGCCTACAGTAGACCCATTAAACTTGTTGAAGCAAAACGTGTAGTAACAAACGAACGTCCGTCGTTCACGTTTCCAGAGTCATCGATGAAAACATTTGGGAAACCTTGCTTTGAATCCGCAGACTTTGCTTTAATGCGAAGGAAATTTCATGTCAAGTCCTGCCCCACGTAAACGTCCATGACGGCTTTCCGTTGACGACCGCGTATAGGTGTGTCTTGTGAGAGTCACGGGGCGGGGCGACGGGAAATGCACAATCTCTTCTCCTCCCCCCTCCGTGATGGTCCTGGTGCAGTACTGCCGTACAGGAGGCTCACAAAGAAAATTCGTGGCCAAGATGTTGAGGGGCCCGACAGTCCCGAAGCGTAAAAGGAACTGGACCTTACATAACTGTACCTGATCGTACGTATTTTTTTTGCTTTCTATTGTGTGTTCTTCTTCCTGTTCTTCTTCGTGCAGATGTTCGAGGACGTGGCCAACAACCAGGTGGCCATGGCCGTGTACGCGATGCCCCCTAAGGTAACCGGGTGCTGACGAAGCAGGAGCCGTGTTTTTCCCAGTGTTTGCCGAGTTTTGTTGTGGCCGTGAAAATGACTGAGCCTTGTTTTTGACCTGTTCCCCTCGTGCCTCCCCTTGTCTGTGCGTGTCAATGGTGGTCGTAGGGTTCGTGTTTTTCTAAAACCCTTCGTGCAACAAAATAAATGAAGTCCCTGTTTTTATTCCCTCCTTCCGTAGGACCCCTGGATGATGCGTCAAGTATATTCACGGAAGGTGCAGGCAGGGTCCAGGAATATCTGGACGGGAAATCACACACATTAAACTTCTTGCATCCGGTCTGACACCTTACTCGCCATTTCGCGGTTCTCCTGCTTACCAACCAACCCATGATGTCTCAAGGGGGAGCTCATATGCCGCATGCACACACAGCAAACCCCTCAACCCCCCCCCCCCCCCCCCCCCCCCCCCCCCCCCCCCCCCCCCCCCCCCCCCCCCCCCCCCCCCCCCCCCCCCCCCCCCCCCCCCCCCCCCCCCCCC